CAAAAAAAAAAAAAAAAAAAACATCGATTAAAGTTCTTAATCAATTAGGAAAAGCCAATATACTGTGGATTTTGAAATAATCAGAATATAATTCCAAAGTTATAAAAAGAAAGAAAAATCTGGAGAGTACACAGACTGCTCCCAACCATCAAAGTACTCTGAAAAGTAAACCACAGAAAGGTCTTAGAAGGCACCATCCTTCCCGCACTGCTGGTAAAGAAAGCAGATAATGGCAGGCAGTAACAACAACAGGGTTCAATCATCATCATCATCACAGTGTGTGGTTCCTTTCTATTGCAGATGCTCCCTCAGAATATATGGACAATGTCATATGCAAAACTTGGTGCATTAAGGAAAATCAATAGAGCATTAATTTTCAAAAGTAGGGTAAGGAGAAAGAAGAAATAAGAATTATATGATTTGAGTCCCACCCAGTAGTTGAGGACCATGAACAAAATTAACTCCTTGCCATCCCACCCATGGAAATTCTGATTGAGTAGTCCAATAAATGAGAAGCCATTTTGCCAATTGGATAACAGGTGGGCTATGGAGTTACACTGAATGGTAAAGCATCAATCTCTTATTCCAATATTTCAATAACAGGTTGATTTAGCATACCTTTTCAGTAGAGGCATATCCCAAATCCTATTTTGTTTAAAGTAGTTTCATTATCAATAAGTAAAATTGTTAGTATTACTCTTTATTCTGATATGTTATTTAACATAATGAACTATCATCTTTTTAAGATCACACTACCTTTGAATTATGGTAAGGATACGTCCAGAACAAAACGTATGACTGCAAACATACAAAGATAATGTCAGTTATATAGAACTACTACAACTGTAGCAATACCAATAAAGAAAGCCTCAACAACCATGACTTAAAAATGACCAGACATACATGCAAGAGAGAGAGAGAACAAAAAGATGCCAATGCACTTGGAAACAAATACAAAGTAACTCTAACAATTCTTAACACAGGATTTCAACCCCCCACTGCTTGGAGAGTACAAACAAACTTTGGGTGGGGAAGAATCATCATCATCATGCCTTATCCCAACTATATGGGGTTCGCTCTTTGGGTGAGGAAGAATACAAACTAGAATTCAGTTTCATAAAGATTACACATCATTCATTGTAGCAGTTAATAGTGTTGACAACAAAATGACTTCTCAGATATGTAACTAGATTAGCAATTGACAACCAATAAATGATGTGGTGAAAATGCTCAAGGCAGTGTGTACTCTCAAAAAGGCCAAGAACATTAATTTCTTTATGTTGATGTAGCATGATCAAGGGCATGATTTAGTTGATTGTTAGCCAGGAAAGAAGACATGGAAATCACTCTTATCAACTGTTGCATCTGGAATAGAAGATGCAATGTGAGAATTCTCAAAGAGGTGACATTCTGGAAGGACCAACCCCATGAGAAAATCCTCATTTTCCATCTGAACACCTCCTGGTGCTTCATCCATCGGTAAGAAAATCACCTGTTGAAGATTTGAAGCATTTTTTTCTCAGCAGAGTGAATTTTCTAGCCATTTTGTTTGCAAGAAACCATAACAAGAAATGCATTCATTCTTGGGAAAAAACCATACAATTCATGAAGAACCACATGGCAAATGAGTACAAACAGCTTAGAGCTGACAATTGTTGTGTTACAGATGAAAACAATATCAGTACAAATCTTTCTAAGGGCCTGGCAGACCCAGTCCAAACCATTTTTCTGCATCCCTTCCCCAGTTAGCATATTAGCAAGGCTGTCCTCAATCCTAGGTATCCACAAGAATGAGTGATTCATATTTCCAACAAGCTACCACTATCAAGAAATATAGCTTTCTCACAAACCCTGATCTTTTTCCCATAACCCTAATAAATTTCCTTGGATCTCTAAGACTTTCTTAAGAAAGCATTCGATATCTAGAACCTAATCAGGAAGAGCAAGCTTGGAGTCATTGGGAGTCTGTGGGTCTCACAGGATTTTGACAAAGTCAAAGGGAAATACTGATATTGCAGGACAAAAATATCAAGGAAAATCATGCCAGTTTTCTAGTAAAAGTTTTAGAAATACGTTGTAAACCATATGCAAAAATCCACTTAGCCACTTCTCTCAGTTAATTTTTCTTGACAAATAAGCACAACTGGAAGCAGTTTGATCTTTTTTCTCTTCCTTTTACTGAATCTATTCTTGCTGCTTGAGAGACATACAAAAGTCCTTAATGTTGCCTCTCCTCTCCATGGAATACTCTCTTGGAATTTTAATCTCCAGAGACATCCCAAGAGTCCAATGCAAATGGTCTACTCTTGGTCTTGGAATCCTGAAAAAGAAAGCCTCAATCCTATTTGTAGAGTTCATTCTGGAGTTTGGCCACTTGAGCCTCATTGACTTCCATCATTTAATCGCCCATTTAGGAGGGATTTCATGCCATGTTTTTTCAAACTTTAACATGTTTTAGTCTTTATAAACTCTTCTCCAGTGGTCCAGCCAATCAACATTTCCGTTTGATATCACATGAAAGATGTTGGTCCCATTGTATGACAGTTTTTTATGTTCAATGAGTAGATAAATGAGGAAGCTTCACTAGATGGTCATTTCTGGAGAGTGTGTGGGGAAGGGGAAGCACTTGTTGCATTCCATGGTCCCAGAAACTTTCCTATGTATGAGAAGAAGCACTTGACGTTCGGAGCTCCTTAGTAGCTTCTTTTTTTTTGAAGGTAAGGTATACATTTCATTAATAATCAAAAACCACATGCGCACTGAGGCTGTACAAGTGAATATATAACCTTTCAGCTTAAAGGCAGGCTTTACAAAAAGCAACCTTTTGTCAGAAAAAGTATCACAACAGATGTCATGCCAAAACTTCATTATAGTCCCCACCCAGCTCCTTGGTAGCATTGGAGGCTCTAAAACTGAGCTGGTGCATGCCCGTTTCAGTGAAAGCTTTGTTGGAGGAATGGCACATTTCTGGTTTGACCAAGAGAGGGAAAGTATGCTGGTCTGCCATTCCCCTGGCAATCCTGTGGGCTTTATGGTACGAGGAACAATAGAATTTTTGAGCAAACAGCAACTTCTGAAGCCAAAGCCATCAGTTTGGCTTTAGGCGCTATTAGAAATTCGTGTCTATAGATAATGTTTTTAAAGGCAATACTCTTGACTGTTCTTTTTTGAGGGTCGACTTTTTCCGAGGTCCTACTTGGCAGTTTCTCATTGTACAAAGGACCTTATACTTTTGTCTTAATACAATTATAATTTACCTTCTCTCAAAAAAAAAATACAGAAAATGAATCACATTCTAGGTCATCATATTCAAACTTGGTGTAGCCTCTTGCAGAGCAATTAGAAATGCATGCCAAGGCTTCATCAATGTTGATTGTTGGTGCTTGTCCTGCAAGAAGATAAATCTTGTGTGCTTGTTGGGAGTTCGGACAGAGAAAGATCTGGGATGAGGGAGATGTTTTCATGATATTCAGTGAAGATTTGAAAGGTTCATCTGTTTCTTTTAGAACTTCAATTAATCACATTGAAACAGCAGAAAGCTGCTTCATGTTCAGCACCTCTCATATCTTTCCAGGATCAAAGTTGTTAAGTTGTTGAGGGAAATGTAATGTGCCTACATATAAACCCTCCTATGAAAGAAAACTCCATCCTCAACAGGGATAGGTTTCGAGAATCAACATCTTCACTGTAAATGAAGGATGTTGAGATGGTAAACATGGAGAAAATATTGATGTGGAGGCAAGGTTATCTAGGGTCAGGGATGAAGCAAATGGGGCCACCCAAAACATGCCTTTAATTTCAGTGCAAATAATCTCAATTAAGATAAAAGTTTCATCTAAAGGGAGGTTTGGACACCATGACAAGATCACTTTCAGATCCCCCAACCCATGTGGATTTATGTGAGGTCATTCTGGGGTCCCATGCCATACAAATCAGGCCTAAGTTGGCCATGCAACATCTTGGGTCGTCAGGCTTAAGATTAAGTAAGCTGTCACATGACAATTGCTCTAGGCCAAATCTGGGTTTGGAAATGGGTATAGAGCATCCATCCTCTTAAGAGGATAAGGCTCATCTCTTAATAGAGTTCAGATCTAAATTAGATTTGGATAATCTCCTAATTTGATTAGGAGAGTGCTCCATAAGGAGATAAAAGAGTTGGGCTGAAGAGGGTGCTTGCATGTTTCAAGTTTAGGCTTTGGATCCAATCAATTGCTGTTGAGCCAGGAAAGGAGGAAAAGTAAACCATTTCTTAATTCCTACACAAAGGTTCTTGCAATGAAGAGAGACTGGCTGGATGGGCCTCAATCGTTATTCTTTTTGTTCTTTTATTAGGTCCTCTTGTAGCTTAGTGGGCCTCATTGTTATGGGCCTTCCATTAGTTATTCTTTATGGTGTTTAAGTTAGCCGCACTACTGAGGGCATCTATGTATTTGTCCCTTTATATCAGATTAGATCTAATAAAAGAATTTAGGGGACTAGATAGAGGATCGATTAACTCTCTTCTCCATCTCCCTCTTCTCTTTCTCTGAGCTTGTTTCTTTCATTCTTCTCCAGTTTTTTGTCAACTATTACTTGTTTTGGTTCAGCTCTAATTGCCTCTTACAAGAATTTAGATACAACCTGCAATGTGAGGGTGAAGATTTGGAGGGAATATTGTTCTTTGAGTCTTGAATGTTAAATATCACTCTGTTTGAACAAGCTTGTTTCTTTCATTCTTCTCTTCAGTTTTTTGTCAATTATTACTTGTTTTGGTTCAGCTCTAATTGCCTCTTACAAGAATTTAGGTACAACGTGCAATGTGAGGGTGAAGATTTGGAGGAAATATTGTTCTTTGAGTCTTGAATGTTAAATATCACTCTATTTGAACAAGTTTGTTTATTGAATGAAATAAAAACCACTCCCAATCCCAATGATGAGAATGCCATGCAGGACTGGACTTCGACAAGATAGATGTGTTATTTTTTGCAGTCAACTAAATCATGGGGGGATGCCAGTGTATACCACAATATATAAATGTACCAACAAAAGCTACAATTTTTATCAGTAAACAAAAGCTAAATAGTATATAACAATGGTTAAAAAAAGGATACAATAAATAATAACCTAAAAGTTAATCATAACTCCTATTAAAAAGAGCCATACATACCAAAAGCCCGCCAAGAAACCCATCAAGTAGGAGTCTATTCCAGCAATCAAAGTATGAATGAATGGAGAATTTTGNATAAATGTACCAACAAAAGCTACAATTTTTATCAGTAAACAAAAGCTAAATATTATATAACAATGGTTAAAAAAAGGATACAATAAATAACAACCTAAAAGTTAATCACAACTCCCATTAAAAAGAGCCATACATACCAAAAGCCCGCCAAGAAACCCATCAAGTAGGAGTCTATTCCAGCAATCAAAGTATGAATGAATGGAGAATTTTGCCTTTGCTGCAAGTCCCAGAGAAGTAATGGCCATGATAAGGAAATAGAAGACAAATCCAGTCAAGCCAGTATATCCCAAAATGCCAGCAATTACGCCACCAATGATTGACAAAAATGTTCGACTGCAAACATAAATGGATTTAGGTTTTAGTAAAATAGGAAATGAAAAAAAAAATGTAGATGTAACATCACTAAAGGTGAATAATGGCATGTTGAAAGATGCTAAGAAAGAAAAACTATAAGATGCCCAACACAACTTAAAATACAATAACATACGAACTTTCCAAATAAAAATAATATAGGTGACATGAAAAGTAACAAATACCATTACAACTTGAAGCACAAGGATGTCCATGCTTTTTCTGGTTTTTTGAATTTTTCTATTTTTAAAACTGAACAAAATAACTCAAGTAACCAATCAACATTAAGACTTTTCCCATTAATTCATCATTAACTTTCTCTACTCTTTCTCATAAACTCCTCCAATTATCTCTACTCATTAATCATGCCATAAACTCTTTCTCCTACAATAACTCATGCCACTAATTATCCTTCTTCTCATTTACTCCATTAGATTTCTTAAAATTCATTAACTCTATCTATATCTATATCCATTTCAATTTAATTATAATTTTAAATCTATTAGATATATTTACATTTAGTTATAATTTTTTTTTGAAAAGGTAATGTAAAATTTTATTGATGAGAGAAGATACAATACAACAGCAACCTAGTGGGAAAACACCAGGAAGACCACCATTTTACAAAGTCCAAATGGGGTGAGATTCAAGAAGCTGAAATACATTCTGGTTTTCAAAGTCTGAAATTACGGATAACCAGGAAGCAAGTCTGTTGACAGCAGTCTTAAGCAGGTATTCAGGGGCTTTAGCTTTGTTGCAGAAAACACGACTGTTCCTCTCAGACCACACAGAGACCAGAATAACTGCAGGAATTGTTTTCCAGACCAGCTTCCCCTTTTTACTCAGACCAGAAAGCTTCCAACTGCACAGAACCTCCTTGACAGACCGAGGCATAACCCAGCTGATGCCGGCTGACTTGATGAAGTGCTCCCATAGCTTAGCAGACATGGGGCAATGGATGCAAAGATGATCACCAGATTCTTGAACCAAAACACAGTGTCACACAACCCACAGTTCAGATCAGGAATCTGAACCCCACGCCTAATCAAAGTAGTTTTTGAGTTTTGACAGACATTTGTCTAGAGCCAGCACCCAGACAAGAAAATTTGCCTTGGAGGGACTAGTAGAAACCCAAATCTGCTTACTAGGGAACCCCGTATTAGAACCTTGACTTAGCTTTTCAGCCATAGATTTAACTGAGAAGCAACCATCTCCACTCCACTTTCACTTCAACTCATCTTCCACATTAACAGAAATATGCTGATTTTGCAACAGCTGTAATAACTCCAGCAGCTGCTCCAGTTCCCAGTCATGGAGGTTCCTTCTAAAGAGGGGACACCAAACAGCACAACCACCCACCCACTCAAAAGAGTCAAAGGCTGATGCAACAGGGAAGGAGGAACACTGACAGAGGTTAGGAATGACCTCAGCAAGGGGGGTGTTAAAGAACCAGGGGTCCTTCCAGAATTTCAGCCTCTTACCATCTCCAACTTTATATTCCAGACCTTCTGAAAAAGAGGGGAAACCTTTCATAATACCCTTCCACAGGGAACAGCCCCACGTCTGAAGAGGGTCCAAGTATTTCCAGTTACCCCAGTCCACATCATATTTAGCAGCTAAAGAGATCTCCACCATGCATCTCTTTCAGAGCCAAATCTCCAAATCCACTTACTTAGGAGGGCAGAAATAAAAGTCTTCAGTTTTCTTACTCCCAGCCCTCCTTTTACAGGCAAACAGACCTGATCCCAACTAACCAGGTGAATTTTCTTATCCTCTTCCCAACCCCTCCACAAAAAATAAAATTCTATCAAGTCACAATTTCTAATATAATTAACTTAATTACATTGAATTAGCTTAATATAATTATTATTTACTTCATAATAAAAAATAAATTCTATTTACTTATAATTTATAACCCATGGTAGATTATTAGGCTAAATAACCTACTTTTTTTATCAATGCTAAGTAACCTACTTCCATTTAAAAGATAATTAATTTTTAAGTTAATTAATCAAGTAAATTACATTTCAGAATAAATATAATTTGCTTTACTCAATAACAAAACTATAAAAATTTGAAATATAAAATTACATTAAATTATAATTATAACCCATTTAAATTCCATTTTAGACTTAAAATTATAATTTAAAATTCACTAATATATTTCTATTTAATTACAATTATTAACAAAAATGTATAACTATTAACAAATTTTAATTAATTATATATAATAAAAATATCACATTTTAACATTATTCAATAAGAAAATTTAAAATTAATTACTACAAATAAAATATCATAAAAATTATAATCCATTTACATTCCATTTGAAAATAATGAAAATTAATTAAACATAGTAAAATTAAGTAAATTAATAAAAAGTAATAAAATAAATTAAAAACTAATATCCATTCAAAATTCATTTAAAATTAATACAAAATTATCTAACAATAATAAAGTTAATAAATTTAAGAAATAAGTAAAAGTAATATAAAACAATACAAAGTTATTGGTTTTGATATTTGTTTTTTATAAGAGCTTTTGAAATTTGTTTTCATTAATTTAATCTCATTTAAATATTGGTAAATCTAAACATTTCCCATAGCAATGCTAATATTTTTCACTAATTTAAGTCTCTAGAACAAACCAGGTTAATGTTAACAAGGATAATCTAGCCTCTCTTCCACAGGCTAGTGCAAACAAGTACAATCTCCCCCATAGCAATTGAAGGAAATCCACCAACCTCTCTTAATCAATTGTCCATTTTGAAAAAAAAAAAAAAACAATTAAACTAATAATTAAGCATAGTTCTTGGATCAACCCATGCATCATTCCTATCCCCTACTAATAAATCTCATTACCAACCAAAATCAATAAAGCAATAAAGTAAACATAATAGAAACCAAACAAACAGCAATATTAAATGTAATATTTCAAATATAGGTAGTAAGGCATGTGATACCCATGTGATACTTCAATAGAAAGTTACCATATCCTGCAAAGTCCAGATGTGATACCCAAATTTGTAACTAGTAATATTACAATATTGCTCAAACTCTCATGTAATAGATGATTCAATGACTTCCACCTTTGAAAATACCTTCTCATGAAGCAGACATAGGATATTCATGTAAAAGACGATTAGACCTTTTATTTGAGTGGTAAAAGTAATAGAAACGAGAAAGGCATTAACACATACTGATGCATAAGTACAAACCTATAGTAGATTATTTTCGTGTTATTTTGCAAGTTCTCGGCATTGAAGGTTGGTAAATCATTTGAAGAATCAGTAGATTTTTTCTTGGAAGCCCCTGAATCTTCATGTCCCACCATTACTTCTGCTTATCTGTGTAAAAGCAGTTAATATTAGTAAATAAATAAAAAAAATTACACACTCATATGAATTAAATATTAGCTAACTTGGATCAAGTGAAACCATAGCTAAAGTCTTTAAAAAATGGTATTTACAGTACACAAAAGATGATTAAGGGTCCGTTTGGTTCACAGCCGGAATCAGAATCAGAATCAGAATGGTCTATTCCCATAGTCAGTTTGGTTCAGAGAGGAACGAGAATGATAATTGGAATCACCAGGAATGGGATTTCATTCCCAATGGAGGGGGAGGGAATGGCGATTCCCTCAAATGAGGGAATGCCATCCCACCACGAATGGGAACGGGATTTCGTTTCCGCCCAACCAAACAGTTGGAATTGGAATAGCCCATTTCGATTCCAATTCCAGACCCCTATGCCTGCAAACAAAACGGGGCTTAAATGATACATACATCCCACATAAGATTAGATGCATTGGATAGATAAGATTTCCTGGTGGATCAAGTAGTAAGTTGGGATTTTTTTTGAAGAAGTTGGGATAGTTGAAGTGTCCAACTCACTCAGTTTTTCTTAGGTGGAGAAAGCTTTGCCACAGCCACCTTTTCTAGGAAGGAAGAAGAAGATACAAGAGTTTGAGTTGATGAATGTGTCATGGATGCTAGGAGGAACCATGAAAATTTTGTGGTGGACATCTTTAGTGTCTTTAGAGTGGTGTACTGAAGGCAGTGTTTTAAAAGCGCAAGGAACAGGGGTCAATTTGTGCCTGAAGCACAAGGCGCAGGGCGAGGCGTGCACCTTTTTGAAGCAAGGCGCAAAAATACAAAAAAAAAAAAAATGTCAGAGAATTCAAAAAAAAATGCCAAAAAAGCGTCAAATTTTCAAAAGGGGGCACACCTGGGCTGAGGCGCTAGGCGCACGCCTGGTGCGCCTTTGAAAGGGCTGCGCCTAGGACCTAGATGAGGCGCATACCCTAAAATGCGCCTCACCTGTGCGCCTCAGGCATGCCTTTTAAATCACTAACTGAAGGTTTTGAGCCATGTAGCTCGAGATGGGAAGACCAGCGGAGGTTGGAGGGAGATTGGGAAGGGATCCCCCTAGGACATTCTGAGGTTTGAAGAGAAGATGAAATGTAGAATTAGGGGTGGAAGAGAAAAGAATTGATGGCATTGCTTTGTGTTTGAAGAGGGTCCAGTCCAGATTGATTAGACTATCACTGTGTTTTCTTTTGCTGAGGATGTATTGTTCTTTTTTTTTTTTTTTTGATGAATGAAGATAATTTATTAATTCAGAAAAAAGGCAATACAGGAAACCCAATGCCTTTTTTTTAATTTCTGTTGAAGGGCTACACAACGTAGATCATCCCCCAACCCAGGTGCAGATGGGATTCGATCCCAAGTCTCCACTACGACCAGCAGGAGACCTTACCAACCAGCTGGGTTGGCACCTTGCAGTTGGTTCAGTGCTTTTTCAAAATAAGAGTTCAGTTGGGTAGTTTTTTAGAGGAAACTTCAACTTTTGGCAACCTGTGTTCTTGTATGCAAGTTTTCTGGGGCATGTGTATAATTATAAATCTTGGGGTTGCTGCTGGTTTTGCTATGGGTGCAACTTATTAGCATGTGTTTTAAATCTTTTGATACACTCCATTCTCTATCTATGTATCACTTATCCCTTGTTTTAAAGTTTTAATTAGGGATATAAATAAACAAAGAAAGATTTAAAATGACTCTGCAGTTGAGTTGTTAATCTACTAGTTGACCTAATTGGTGCGTAGTTGTTCAAGGTGACTGCATCATGAGCATCAACCAACTAGTCAAGGATGCAGCTGGTCCAGCCCTCGGCTGACTAGTCAATGGTTGGTTGGACGTTTGATAACAATGAATTTCATATGAAATTGTTTTTAATGATACTACCAAGAAAAAAGATATGAAATTGTTCTATTAATTATGTACTATATTATTGCGTTATTTTTTGATAAATAAATATTATTGCGTTATTTTTGAAACTATTGAAATGAATGTATTTAAAATACTATTTTCTTATATAATTAACAGTGTTGATTTCATTCCAAGACAAGCCATACTATCCAAAAATCTAGACAGCATGAACCAATAACCCAAAGGCTGCAAAGGATAGTTAGATAAGGATTGCAAGTTACTCCCCAGCCAGGCATTACCCATAGAAGCTTTTCTGTGTTACCCTAAGTTAATGAATCTTCCAAAGCATTTTCAGATCTAGGGATCCATCTGAATGAACTGTCAGGTTGAGAATTAGAGCCTGCACCTGTATGGCAAAGTTTTTGCCTTAAGGGTATTGCTATCATTTTTTTTTTTTGATCAATAACAGTAACTTTTATTAAAAAATATTAAAGAAAGATACAGTATAAAGGGAGGGGTAAAAACACTTAACCCTCCCTAACAATAAGGATCATATTACAACACAGCCCAAAAAAGATTTGCTCTTCCCACCCCTTGTTTGGCCAAAAAATCTGCCATAGAATTGGCACACCTCTTGGCCCACTGAACCTGAATTTGCATGTTTCAAATAATCTGGTTGATTTTCTTTTTTTCATTTGAGAACTTCCACAGACTAGAATCTTCCTCCTGCAACCAGTTAACTGTCAACCTTGAATCTCCTTCCACCAACAGATTTCTGATTTTCAACTGCTTGTCTCTTTTGATCCCTTCCAAAGCTGCCAAAATTTCAGCTCTCAATGAATCCCCCCAGCCTATAGGTGCTGAGAACATGGCAATAATTCGACCTTCTTCATCCCGGAACACTCCACCTATACCTGAAGGACCTGGATTTCCTTCACTGCTAGCATCAAAGTTCAATTTAATGTATCCCAAAGCTGGTTGAGTCCAAGCTGGATTGGGAGAAGAAGTCAAGGGAGCAGACCGGCCACTTCTTCCCACTTTCGAATGATGTCTCCTGCTGAACAACCTTCAAATATCTTCATAGACTTGACCCAATGAACCACCCTAACATATATTAATTCGATGATGGCTTCCCTGCTTTTTTCTTTCTAATGAAAAGTTCTTTGATTTCTTTCCTCCCACACACTCCAGCAAACAGCTGCTCTAGCACATCTCCACATTTTAAACCCCTCACTGATGTAGTACTAAATAAGCTCTGCACACTTGGAGGGGGGGTCCATCTGCAACCAAAGAGAGAAAAACCAACACCATATTTCTGATACGAGTTCAAATCAGCCCCCCACCAGATTGCCCCCCACAACGTCCCACAGCACATTCCCGCCGTGCATTGTGAACATCTCCCGATGATGACATCATAATTTCTGGTATCATCATTGGGAGATGTTACCAATACATGGCGGGGATGTGTTGTGGGACATTGTGGGGGGCAATCTTGTGGGGGGCTGATTTTCTCACAAAGGGGCAACAAACTAATAAGTGATAACATCTCTCACCATTCTTCTTACATAAAATGCACCAGTGCGGGGATAAACACCACTTAGGCCTTTTCTTTTGAAGTAGGTCACAAGTGTTACACTTTTCTATGATAGCTTCCCAGCAAAAGGCACCTACTCTGGGAGGGATTGGTCTACCCCAAACTTCCGAGACTGGGAAAGGAGAACCCAGGATCGGATTGGACTATGTTAATTCTTTGAAAAAGGAAGAGCAAGAGAAAATACCCGACGGAACAAGAGACCACACCCTATTGTGCACTCTAGAGGGGTCAATAACTACCTCCTCCAAAATCTTAAGCAAGTTAGAGATGGAATCCAATTCAGAATCTCTGAGAGCCCTTCTAAAACCCAGATTCCAATTAACTGCAGAATCAGACGAAGTAAGAATGGTAGCTATAGGCTCATTTTTAAACCTTGAGAGGGAAAACAAAGAGGGGAACTGCTCTTTCAAAGGAATGTCTCCCACCCAAATATGCTCCCAAAAACTCACAGACGTACCAAAACAAAGGTCATACCTGATAAAAGGAAGAAAAGAAGGAAGGATGGCATGAATAGACTTCCAAGGAGACGCCCTTGTAACCCTAGATGAGATCCTCGTGTCCCAGTCGTCTACCTCTTGCCCATGAATACTTAGGATTATTTTAGCCAACAAATTCTCCCTTTCTTTATTCAATCTCCATAACCATTTCCCCAAAAGAGCTTCATTCTTCTTCTTTAAGTTACCCACACCCAGGCCACCATCATTTTTGGCTTTTGTAACCAAGTCCCACCTAACTCTATGGTCCCTTTTCTCCTCCCCTGGTTCCCATAAGAAATCTCTCATTAATTTCTCCAGAATCCTACATACTCCCTCAAGAATTCTAAACACAGACAAAAAATAAATCAGAAGGTTTGCCAAGATTGACTTTATCAGAGTTATCCTACACCCAAAGATAGGTAGTTTTTCTTCCAAGAGGCTAGTCTTTTTGTGAATCTATCAATCATCAGGTTCCAAAAGCCCCTCTTGGTAGGGTTATCCCCTAGTGGAAGCCCCAAATATTTCAATGGCCATTGAGCAATCCCACAACCCAAAACTTGGGCCCTTTCTTCCACCTCTCTAACACTCATATTGATGCCAATCACAGAACTCTTATCAAAGTTTACTTTGAGGTTAGTCACTTGTTCAAACACCTTGATTACCATCTTTAAATTACTAACCCACCTAACCTCCTCCCCACCACAAAGCAGAATTGTGTCATCTGCAAATTGTAAATGAGTGACTGGAACCCTGTCCCTCCCAACTCTCCAACCATTTACCAATCCTCTAGCATCTGCTTTCTCAATAAGCCTCCCTAACACTTCAGCAATCAAGATAAACAAGAAGGGGGAGAGGGGGTCCCTTGCCTAATAACCCTAGTAGATGGAAAATGATTTGTCACTCTGCCATTCACTAGTATAGAATAGTGGCACGTTCTATTACACCCTTTTATCCACTTGCACCACCTTTGCCCAAAACCAACAGACTCTAGTACTTTTTGCAATAAGGACCAATAAACCAAATCATAAGCTTTTTCTAGATCCAATTTGCATACCATCCCTTTCTTCCCT